TTTCCCTTCTTCACTTTGAGCTTCTGACTGGCAATGTGCGTCCGGCGGCTGGTCGCCTCGAAGGCTCGTACGAAGAGCAATCGATTCTCGCCTTCTTCTTCTTTGCCTTCTTTTTGGTCGTTTTCCTTTTCCTTTTCCTCCTCCTCCTCTTCTAGCTGCTCTCTGGTGACAACTGGCATCGAGTCGGGGAGGACGTCTTTGTCTCGTTGCTGCTGCTGCTGCTCGGGGCTATTAATCAGCAGCAGTCGGCGGCCTTTTGTCCGTCGTCCGTCGACGAGAAAGTCGAGCAGCTGACTGAAGAGTGACGGCAGAACGGATGGCGGAGTGTTTTTACCCTCCGAAGTGGTAGTAGTAGTTCCCAGCAAATCTCGGACGATGTAGCCGAGCGGCTTTCGCCGACCGGCTAGATCGGCGGTCAGATTGTAGAGCAGGGTGCCCTTCAGCGAGGTGAGCACTGGGCGGAGGTTGAAGGTGGTGAAAGAAGTTTTATCCTCTTTTTCATCTTCTTCCTCCTCCTCCTCTTCAACGTCGAGCACCGCCGCGAGGAAGCTGAGTGAGGTGAAGCACTGCTGGAGGGCGTTGTAGTGGTGCACCAGTCGGGGCATGAAGACCCGAGTGTGGCTGAGCACGGGCAGCTCGCTCAGAGGGTCAAAGTGGCGGTGAAGACGCTTTCGTTCAGCCGCCTCCAAACGGTTCAGCAGAACGGGCGCCGGCTCGGGGAAAAGGTGGCCGCTGAGGAGGAGGTTGAGCAGGGCGGCGAGGAGGAACTCCAGCCAGAAGGGCTCGCAGAAGTGGACGGTCAGGTAGTGCAGGGCGAGGAGGGCGGAGATGAAGGGCTGGAGAAGAGGAGTTGCAGTTGGGTGAACTCCGTGGTCGGAGAGGATGGCTCGAAGCAGCTGAGGAGTGGTCGGGTCAATGTCGGCGATGCGCAGAAAGAGGTGGTAACGGGCAGCTCGGCTTAGCGAGGACACCTCCTCTAAAGTGGGCAGAAGCTGTTGTTGGTTGTTGTTTTGGTCGTTCACAAAGAAGGTGATGGGCGCCACGCGGTCGACCACTCGATTCGTGTCCCGGCGGCTGTAGCGTTTGATCTTCTGCAGACTGTCCAATTTCGAACTGGATGACGTCCGCAGAATGCCGTAGACGTGCTGGGAAAGGCCGTAGACGACCTCCGCCGACGACTCTCGAATGGAAAAGTCCTCCACCAGCGGGCGGAACCAGTCGATGTGGAGTTCGCGGAGGCGGAGGAGGCGGCTGGGAATGCGGGTGCTGACTAGACGCTCATGGGCCCACCGGGGAAGATTTAGGCGCTTGAAGAAGCAGAGGCGCTCGAGGTGAGCGGCGAGGTAGCGCTGGACGAGCGAGGGAAGGCCTTCTGCCTCTTTTGGCTTCGAAAAGTCCTCCTCCCCTTCTTTGGTTGCCTCCTCCTCCTCCTCCTTTTGAGCATCACTGAACTGCTTCTCAATGTAGAGCAGAAGTTTGGAGCTGTGTTCCGGGTCTGTGTCGAGTATCCGCCGAAGATCGGCGAGCAGCTCCTCGAGGCTGTCGTAGGCGGCGAGCCAGGTGAAGACGGCGTGAATGCGTTTTTGGCGATTGCTCACCGGAAGGTTGGCCATTCCTCCACCTGAGTACCGGGGAATGCGCCGCTGGAGAACGTTGGCCACCGCCTGGCTGATGTGATCATTGCCGAGGAGGGCTCCGACGACGGGCAGGAGCTCCAGCTTCAGCTTTGGATACACTCGAAGAAGGTGGGCCGCTCGGTAGATGTAGCAGCTGATGTACTTGTAGTGCGTTTCACCCTCACCCTCCTCACTGGTCAGCACGCGAAAGTCGTCATCGAGGAGGAAGTCAAGGGAGATCACACCGCCGGACAGCAGCCCCGGCGGTTCCACCAGAAAGTCGCTGTCGTTGGAGAGAACTGGACAGCGGAGGTCGCCGGCGATCTGCCGCACCAGGTCGTCCGCCTCGTAGAGGCCGCTCAGCTGACAGACGCCCAGGGTGCGCAGTGTTTGCTGGAAGACCGCCTCATTGAGCAGCGGCAGGAGGCCTTCGTCGAAGGTGTTGTGGGCGTACAGGCGGAAGGCCTGCTGAAGACTATCGCCGAAGCGTTTCAGAAGCGTCTCCAGCTTGGCCAGCGACGGGTCAAAGCTGCCGTCGAAGACGACGATGGGGACGACAGAGCAGGCGGCCAGTCGGCCGAAGAAGTCCGCGACGTGGGCGGCGAAGAGGGCGTAGTCGCCGCCGTACATGTGCGAGTTTCGCTTCTCCCGCTGGTACTTGAAGTAGAGTTTGTAGAGCAGGTTGTGGCCGTCCACGACGAGGACGGTGTCGTGCAGGCGGTGGTGAGGGTCGAAGAGGCGGCGGGCGCGGACAAAGGTCGAGAGGCCTTGGATGCCCATGGTGAGCGGAGAGAGAGGTGTAGTCTGAAGATTCCAAACGTTTTTGGAGTTTTCGAAACACTGATCTGAATGGTAAACAGTGACACATGGAGTGCACGCACTGGGAAGAGGAACTTCTCCGCCGGCGGAGCATTCTTTCCGAAGTGTCTCAAACAGCTGCTTCTGTTCTCGATTCTCGATTCTATTTTTCTCATTGATGACCTTCCTTCCTTCAGTTGACTAAAAAAGTCTCAAAATGATACGATAAACCGATTCCGCACCATTGATCATCAACAAACTAAGTTCTTTTTTCCTGTACTTCAAAAGAGAAACAAAATCATATCATACACAGCAAACGGCAACAGTGTGTGTGTGTGAGTGGCCAATGATGTTTGGTGAATTTTTGTTTTGTACATTTGTTTTACCCTAGGAGATTAAGTAAGATGAGTGATAAAGAAGAAGAAGAATCTAGGCGTGTGTATAAGAGAGAGAGAGAGGTGGCTACTGCAGTGTATAAAAATGTACAGATGACCAGAGGTGGTGGTAACAGGGAATCGGATGATCCCTACTCGATGTCAGTGTCATCGATGAACTGCTTGGAGGAGGTGGTGCTCGTGGCGCTGCTCGGCTTCGCCATGTTCAGCGACTGGTCCTTCAGCACCTTCTGAATGTAGTTCTAGAGAGGAGGAAAAGAGTGTTAAAACTTTTAGGAATTTAGAAATGCCGAAGTGCACCTACCTCATTGGCAACCTGGTAGTACTTGAGCAGAATTTGGAAGGCCTGCGGCGGCAGCGACTTCTGCATGACGCCGAGGAACTCGCTCTTCTGTGAGCAGACCACCGCGGCATTGGCCAGGTGGATGACCGCCTCCTCGAAGTTGCCCACCTGCATCAGGTCGTCGCTGAGCTGGACCTGGGTGAGGAAGTACGCCTGCATCTCGCTGGGGTCCTTGAAGATGGGAATATCAAACAGCTCGCTGCCCTTCTTCGAGGACTTCTTGTTGGCGTTGCGTTCTGCGTAGTTGGAGAGAAAGAGAAATAGAAATGAGTTTAGAGGTGTTTCGAATCAGATCAGATCATCAACCACATTTAGAACTTACTCGCCAGGACCTTGGCCTTGTAGTCTGGCGCACTGCGGCGCTTGCGGTCAAAGTAGACGCAGTAGGCGAGAAAGCCGAGCACGCCCACCGTCACCGAGGCTTTGGCCACCAGAGACATCGCTGCACCGAGCAAGAGACAGGTACAACAGCAGCAAATCACACAACACAAACAAGTGCTCTTCAAGTGCTCGTCAACAAACTGTGTGCACCACCGTTGTCTACTCTCTTATGGTCAGCCTGCAGTCGATGATGATGACAAGGGGTGATCACCACTCTTCTTAGGGAGCCTCCTCGAGCTGAAGAAGGTGATTTTGATGGTGGTGATCAGAGTTCCTCGAGTGGAGAGGACATCAGAGTGCAACAGCAAAAGCCGCATGTGATTTGCAGGCGATGATTTTTCGCTGCTGAAAAAAATCATCGCCACTCGCAGAGGACGTTATGCCAGCGGCAGCGTTGCTGTGTTTTGGTCGCGCGCCGCGCCGCAGAACGTCAAACTGTCGTTTCTGTCTTCCCGACAACTGTTGTTCCAAAGATTTTTGCTGACACACCGAAAGATTCTGCCTACCTGCCATGGAAGATAAGAAGGCGTTCAGCAAGTTCAAGCTGAAGGAGAAGAAGGACGAGGGCGAAGGGAGTGGTCCCAGCGGCAGCGGCGGCAATGCTGCGGTAAGTATTGTTGTCAAGTTCTGCTTTGTTGTCTTTCTTCTTCTCTAACTTGTTCTACTTTGATTCCAACAGAGTAAGTATTTCAAGCCTGGCTTTATCTTCAACAATCAACAGCAGCAGCAGAAGAATGATGACCACTTTGATGACGACCTGAGCGACACTGACTACGAGCAGGCGATCGAGGCGGCCAGTCAGCAACTGGTCGGCAAGAAGGCGTCATCATCTCTCCCAGAGAAGACCGCCGCCTCTTCTTCTGGCCTCAGCAGTTCTTCAAAAGCTCCAAAAGCTGGCTCCTCGTCCTCTTCTGTCGAATCGGCCGCCCTGGAGCGCGTCAACCAGGTCGCCTCGCAGGCGGTGGACTTTGCGTCTACGAAGAGCAGCAGCTCATCAACGCACAACATTCCCTCGCTGAAGGGCAGCAACACTATTCTCGGTTTGTTTGGACCATGTTGGTTTCTACTTTTCGTCATAACCCTTTTTTCCTCCATTCAACAGTCAACTCGAACCAGCAGAAGAACCCGCTGCTGCAGAGCCTGCGCTCCGTCCGCTACGTCCTTACCGACGCCATCTCTCCCGCCCACTACCTCCTCTCCGACAGCTGCTGTGCGCTCTTTCTCAGCCTGAAGTACCACGTCATTCACCCGGAGTACATCTACGAGCGAGTGAATGAGCTCAGCCGAGGTGGCGGCCTCTACCAGCTGAAGGTGCTCCTGGTGATGGTGGACCATGTGGTCTACGAGGCGCACCTCAAGGAGCTGACCATTCTGGCGGTGCGCACCAACTGGACGCTGCTGGTCGCCTGGACGTACGAGGAGGCCGCCCGCCACATTGAGCACCTGCGCGTGAACGCGGAGAAGCCCGCCGATGTGATCATGGGCCGCTTTGATGACGGCCTGGGCTGCGGCACCAGCACCAGCACCAGCACTAGCAGCACTGGAAACAGCAGCAGCAGCAGCAAAGCTTTTTCCATGAACCAAAGTCTGGTGGACGCGCTGACCAGCGTCAAGTCGGTAAATCGAACCGACGCGGCGACGCTGCTGGGCAGCTTTGACACCTTTGGCGACCTGGTCCGAGCGAACACCGACCTGCTCACCTGCTGTCCGGGCATTNCTTTGATGACGGCCTGGGCTGCGGCACCAGCACCAGCACCAGCACTAGCAGCACTGGAAACAGCAGCAGCAGCAGCAAAGCTTTTTCCATGAACCAAAGTCTGGTGGACGCGCTGACCAGCGTCAAGTCGGTAAATCGAACCGACGCGGCGACGCTGCTGGGCAGCTTTGACACCTTTGGCGACCTGGTCCGAGCGAACACCGACCTGCTCACCTGCTGTCCGGGCATTTCCATGGTGAAGGCGAAGCGCCTGCAGACGCTCTTTCAGAAACCGTTTTGCAGTGAACGGTAGTAGTGGAACCAAGTCCTCGAAGATGTCTGAAGAAGATGCAGAAGGTGCGACCACTTTGGTAAGTGGAACTCTTTTCTATTTTTTTTCCTTTACGCACACACACACTGAGCTTACTNGAAGATGCAGAAGGTGCGACCACTTTGGTAAGTGGAACTCTTTTCTATTTTTTTTCCTTTACGCACACACACACTGAGCTTACTATAGCACACTTCATTTGGAGTTGTCTTTATTGTTGCTGTTACCACCACTACCACCACTGTTAACTATCGCCCTCAGCTCGGCCACCTCCCTCTCCAACTTCTGTACTCTCTCCTCGCATGAATGAAGTGCTGCTGCGTGCTGCTGATGTGTAGAATTACCACCACTTGGTGGCTGATTTTCTTGAGACGGTTTTTTCGCCAGTACCTCCTCTTCTTTCTTTGCAGTGAGCCCGTACCGGTTGAGCAGCCGCTCCAGGTAGTGCTGGTGGCCGGCGCGGCTGATCAGCCCTCCTCGGAGCAGCGCCTCCAGGACTGACCACTCGCGCTGGCCGGCCCGGTCCAGTCGGGACTGTACGGTGCCCAGTTCTGAAAGGGAGAGAATTTTAGAATGAGTTAAAAAGGCATGAAAATAGAATTTACGGCAGAAAAGGGGCGAGGCCAGCGTGGCCTGGTACCGGCACCGGGCCACCTCGGTGACGTTGACCAGGTAGGCCAGGTCGAGCATCGTCCAGTCGGTAGAGCAGAGGAGGCGCAGGCGGACCTGTCGTGCCACGCCCTGATCGCTGAAGGGCGAAATGGTCTTTATGATTAATCATAACTGCTAACTTTCCTTTAACTCCTAACTCCCTTACCACTGATCACCCTCTAGGTAGAGCAGTGAATCGAATGATGCTGCTGTTGCTGCTGCTGCTGATTTTGCTGATGTTGCTGATGTTGTTGCTGCCCTTGAACTTCTCTCACCTTCTTCTTCTTCGCCGTACCCGTCTAGGGTGACGTACCACCTTTGGTAGAGGCCCAGGACGGCGTGGAAGGAGGTGGTGAGAAAGTTGAAGGCGTACGGCGACTTTTCGTGCTGCGTCACATTGCTGAAAGGACAGACGCGGAAGATGTACTGCTGCTGGTCGTCGTAGAGGAAGCACTGCGCCAGAAGCGGTGAAAGGAGGTCCGGGCCGGGAAAGGGCGCGGCGGCTGTGCTGATGTTGTTGATGTTGTTAGCACCGGCTCGCTGCTGAAGCATTCGCTCGGTGATGGCAGTAAAGTCCAGTGTGTTCCTGTGGGGTGATAAAGGAGGTGAAGATTTTGCTGCTGTTGATGTTACCATCACACTTACACGTCCCAGTTGGCGTCCGCCGTCTCCTTGACCACCTTCACCGGGAGGAACCACTGGGCCTCTCCAGGTTCATTATCCTTTTCAGCTAAAGTTGTCTGCTGTAAACAGCATCCGAGCAATAAAAGTGCTTGAAACAAAGCGAGAGAATTGGTCATTTTGGCGTTTGTTTTTCTTTCAGCCTTTTCAGCTTTCTGTTGTGATTGGGAGCTGTCTGTTTAGTCGACTCACTTTCTCCCTCCCTTTATCGCTTGCTTATCAGCAGCAGCTTTTTTCCTACTTTTGTGATATAGTGATTTTATTGTTATGATAAAGACTTTCCCTCCTCTCTCCTTCACAGTTTCACAGCTTCGACTTGAGCAGCGCCTTGCCCACCAGCCCGGCGGCGTCCTTGGCGGTGCCCCAGGCCAGGGTGATGCCATGGCCGCCGTGGCCGTAATTGTGCACCACTTTTAGGGGTGATTTTCCGTTTTTAAACTCCACCTGCTCCAGCTCCACCCTGACCGGCTGTCGCTGCGGTCGCAGCCCCACCCACTCGAAGGCGACCTCAGCCTGGGCGAGGCTGGGCACCAGCTCGGTGCAGCGGCTCCAGATCGATTGGCGGTCCAGCTCGCTGAGGGCCATGTTCCCGTTGCCGTAGTCCTTGATGCCGCCCAGGGTGACGTAGTCGCGGCCGGGGATGATGTAGGCGCCGTCGGCGAAGTAGAAGTG